TTTGGGGTCTTTGATAAGGGCACCTGGGTAAGTATGGTTCAGTCTTGTAATTCAGTATTCCTCTTTACGCTTTCTAGAATGACCATTCTAGCCATGAAAACTTGGTGGAACTAAAGACTCCTCTCGTTTTCTAAGCAGCTTGTGTCAACCATAACTTTTGCCTATGTGCAGGTTAGGTGAACACTAGAGGCCTTTCACGGCAGGACTAAAATAAAGACTGATTCATTGTTACTTAATCATGGAATTTCTTTAGAAAATCTGTTGAGAAAGCTCATCATAAGTGATAGTGATAGGTTTACCTTTTCCACATTGTTTGATATGCTCTCAGTTCCATTTAATTAGAATCCAACAAGCCAAACTTTGCATTGAAAGATAATTGTATACATTTAAACATGGATCGAAGTTTGTTAGTTACTCTTTGGATTAGCAATTCCTTATTTTTTACATTTGAATCAATTTGAGTTAGAGACCTTAGATTTCTACCTGTTCTCAAATTTATTCTGACAAGATTAAACCTTCAATTCCACAAGGACCTACCTCAATGTAACTATAACTACACCTGGCAATGTGGCATATTCCAAATGTAGCATATTTGATGGCGTCAAAATTTTGGTTTCCTGTTTCTTCCTTGTCACACACCCTTTCGTCGAGACCACTTTATTATAGGTTCTCCATCTTCATTTTTGAAATTTTCTCTTTCATGCTTTCAAAAGTCTGATCTGATTAAATGAGTTTAGAGGTTTCTCGAAAGGCACCTGGACCTTCAATTCTTCTGGAATTCATTTTTTTTTCCAAAATACTATCCACATGGCTATTTAAATTTTGCATGATACTTCCTAAGGCATCTCATCTCACATTCTAATCGATCTTCCTTTAAGTCGACTGAAATCTATTACCATTACAACTAGAAAAATCGTTAACACAATCGATAACATCTAGGCGACTAAAAGTTTTCCCCCGGATAGGAAACCAGAAATTGTCAACATGTTTACCATGGTAGAACTTGATGCTTCTATTGAGCTCACTAACAGACAGATCACCTGCACGCGTATACTTAATAGAATCAGAATATTACTATAATCTGAAGTTTCGTTGTGTCAATGAACTCTTTTTAGCAAAAAGAATTTGAGTGCTCATAATTGTTGGGGTATTGAGCGATTTCATTATCTACAGTGATTTTAGAGACTAATTTTTTCCTATCCCAATGACATGGAGACCGTGCTATTGTTCACAAATGGTATTTATTTTTTTGATTTCCAATGACACGTCCAGGAGCATTCCTGTCTTTCATCTAAGGGAAGTATTTAAAGAAATAGGAAGTTAAAGATTATAAATTAGTGGGGAGAGGGGCCCGTTCACATGTTGAGTGGAAGTGGTCGAGCAGAAAATGGATGTGTAAGTCAATGAATCACGACAACCCTACTTTATGTGTACTCCAGAATAATCGGGTCAACTTCTATCTCAAATTTACGTTCACTAGACTTAGCCACCCTTTTTATCATCTTGGTCTTTGGTGACAAAGCCTGGGTGACAAGACTTTATAGGATTTCGAAGCCATTAATTTCTAACATGATTATTGTGGCATCTATCTACTGGACAGAGAAGTCTGCCAGTTAGCAGATCATGTTTGGGTCTGTGGTGGTCGGTGTTCATATGCTTCTCGTCTCACTTTCATCGATGATTCTGAGAATCCGCGCTTAGTTTCTCGTTTACGTACGCCATTCAATTGTGGTTGGTAGTAACTAAGACGGTGAAGAGAATTCTTATCAGGCTTCATCGACAGACTTTCGTTGTTTTTCTCGTAGACAGCTGTTTCGCATCCACTTACTTTTATCTCAGCCATCTTTTAAGAGTCGATTTAGAGGTACTTGCCTTTGCAAGTGGGACTTTTATTAGTCTGTTGATAGTACCGTATTTGATCTGTTTATTGACTAATACCTTGTCTTAATACTTATGCACGCATACATAATTGGAATAACAATTTCATGTATTGTCCAGTCGGGACATAACTACGTACATGCGCAATCACGTTTATTCCGGCACACTCACCACGTCATGTTAGCATGCATTCATATGGAGGTGTGGGTGCTTTCCTATATTCATAACTGGTCATTTTAAGAGTGTTTTTACCTTAACCCTTTAACGCCCTTAGAACCGTATGGCCCATTGGTACTGGGCATGTAAGAGAAGGCGCTTAAACTGTTTGATGCATGTTCAGTACGTGCCTATAGTCTTCGCCTGATACCACCAAAACTCTTCACGGAGACATGCGTGAGTGCGGTTAGGTGTCCATTAAAAAATCCGGCGTTAAAGGGTTACTGGTTACAATAAATTAATTTCATTTTTTTATATAATGACCGGCGTGACAAGTATGAGTATATTTGCTGAAACCTGTCTTATGTACAATTCTTGACAATCTCGTTATTTCCTTCACATGTGAATGCATGGAGTCTTACTCAGCAAAATTCTTCGCCTCGTTCACTTTTCTGCTTGTGAATCCTTTGAAGATTTATATCAAATGGCAGGCGTTTTTGATGGTTATCATTAGCTCTTTCGTTGATTTCAGGCTTCACAGAGGGAAGGAATATCAAAGCGAAAAAAGTCGAGAGGGCGGGGGGGGGGGGGAACAGAAGAGTGTTTCAAAGATGCAAAAGAGACAGACACAAAGGTAGAAAAAAGGTGAGGTGAGTACTGTAGAAGTAGTCGAATATGACATACAATGGGATGATGGTAGTTGGAAGTTGGAAGTCAACTGCCAGTTAATAGACTTTTTTGCCGTATGAGTATACGTTGCCCAGGGTGCACCACATGGAGGTAAATCTATCGCACACCCCATTCTTTTAAGGTAATAGAACATCTGCAATACCTGCCTTTAACTTAAAGACGAAGAAAAATTACTTGGAATCTGGAACCTGAAAATGTTCCAAAATGGAGAGTTGTAAATGAAAATATTCACGAATGTGACTGAATTCATAAACTACTAACACACAATTGTTGCTGTTTCTTCAAATAATATGTTGGATCAAGGAATTTTAACGTGGATCTGTTTATGATTCAATATAAAATTAATTATATATGACAATTTAACGAAACCAAAATGGTGCTTCGCTGTCATGCGTGTGACGCGCACAATAATATCATGACCTATCAAAAGAATCTCGTGTGTGCTAGAACAAACACAAAGGTGCTGCTTGCGTTAGATCACGTGGTGGATAAGTGTTGTGGTGTGAGCAGTGGCCTCCCAACCAATTAGAAACCAGTATTCATTCAACAAAACGTTAAATAGGGTTAGTTACTAGGTCTTTTGGTAGTATGTCCGGAGTTACGATTCATCCCTTACACTCACTACCTCCTGTGATCTCGGTATTTTGAACGTAGCCTTGCCAAATTCGTGGGGTGAGTTTACATTAAATGACGCTGCTAGAAGCCGATTATACATGTCTATAGCCTGTTGGACTTCTAAGAGGGTTAGTAGGGCTTAGCCATGTGGCTATCCGTGTAGTATCCTCAAGCAGGTGCAAGAATAAACGGATGCAATTAAATATCGACTTTTCAAGGTGGAATCCCTTGTACTCCACTCACGGTGAACTTCAGTTAGTGTAATGTTGAAATTTTTACACTTTTATGACTAATCTATGCTCCAGCATCAAGATTAAATGTTCTTGTTTCATTCAAAAAGGCAGTCAATGCAATATTCCAGCTTAGATGCTACGATAATCCAATGAATACATGGTTTATAAAAAGAAGGAAATCACACAGTAAGGCGATGTTTCTACAGCTAATGCCATTCCAAACTGCCAGAGATAAAATAGATACCTGAATCATTATTGCCTACGCTTCATTTTAGGAAAAAAAGGCCTTTCCTCTTCATAGGAGGTGGATTTATCAAAGACAGGGATATTTCCCCACAAAGAATTGAAAAGGTAATTAAATGTAGTCAGAGGATTTGAGTAGAATTATTCAAAGTTGGATTAGCCTGAGGTAAGAACATGATTTAGTTAACTTATAAACAGGACTCGATCCCTTGCACGACTGTCACAAAAGCTGTTAAAGTTGATTGACCCTTGACATACCAAAATCATCTTGTAATTTACCAGTGTGTTACAATTAAGTTCTGGTATCCCACTCAAATTTATGTGTTTTTCTCAAATCGGGAATATGTGAAGTTTTCATCATTGTTTTTGCTACATTTCGTCATCGCTCATTCCCCCCCCCC